CCCCCGTGGGTCATCATTTGAGCAATGCAGGACCTGGAACAGTGCTTTCAAGGGCAGAGTTACAGTTTCCAAAGCTGGGAGTGGGTCTGAAGTTGGATGCAGGGAATCCTAAGTTCCCTCAGTGATGGGGAAATGGGAGCAAGCTAAGGCCTGTTTCAGTGAGCACCGTGAGCTAGTCTGCTTCATTAGAATCACCAAGTTTAACAAAGTCTAAACACGCGTTAGTGATTCACCTGGCAGCATTCACGCTCACTAGCTGCTGTTGGGTTCCTGGACACAAGCCGGGGAGAGGGAGGAGACATGATCATCTAGGACGGCTCCTCTCTCTGTTGGCAGAGGTTGGGAGGAAGCTAACCTTTCTTCTTACTGAACCGCACACGTCCCTCACCATCAGTTCCGACGTCTCTCCTGTGAGCGCCCTGCCTGGTAAACTACAGATGAGGAGGTTTAGAGATTCATAAGTTCACAAAGACAGGAAAAATGTTTCAATGCTGCCTTTCCCCTTGGAAAGATAACAAGAAAGCTTACTCAACTGGAATGATTTTCTATAGCCATCCTCAAAATGTAAAACCCCCCACCAGGAAGTTCACCCTCCTGCGGGATTAATGGAGCTAACTGGGTGGGCATTGGGGCAAGAAAGAACATAATTTCAGGAGTGACTTTGCCAATTTCCAATTCTGATACCTGGGCTAAGTTGTCTAATTTCTCAAGCCTCACTTTCCTCTTTTAAAAATGGGCTTGGTCCTAGGGTTACTTTAAACATTGAGTGAGGACATCGGAATGAACATACTATTGAATGGCAATTGGTTTTATTAGGAAAACATACTAAGTTAATGTGACTTCCAATTTTCTTATGTATGGTTTAAAATAAATTTACACTAGCTTAAAACTGATGTTCTTAGTGTCTTTTGAAGTTAGCAAGTTTCTGTCTTTTTAAATGTGATTTTCAACATAGGAATGAGAAAATCCTAATTCCTCACTAAAGAAGATAAAAGTCAAGAACACAGGCTAAGAATCTCTGATGTTTGACATATTGTGCTAATGAGATGAAGGCTTTCTATACACTTCTATCTGATCTTATCCTTCAAAGGAGAACTTAACCCTTAATACAGGAAGAAATACAGGTTGCTATTAGTTACCAACAGGAGTCAGGAAAGACGTGGGCACATTAACTTAAATGCTTTCTTACCACATTTTAAAATTCTTTTTCTTGGAGGAAATATTGAAGCCATTGGTCACAAGGATAGAATTAAATAAGGAAACAGACATTTGCTCACAGTAATGTTCATCAAAGATTCTTATTATGCATAGAGAAATATTGAAAACAATGAACACTGTTATATAGTAAAAAATTGTTTATTAAGAAATCTACTAAAGCTATTGTACAAGTAACTGATGTTTTGTAAAATTATATATACTATGTAATACCATAAAAACAAACGTGTAACTCCATGTTTGAAGATTCCTAGAAAGTAACTATCAATGTGTTATGAGAGGAAAGATGGAATGAAATTAACCAAATCATGTTATGGATACATATATACAATGAATTCCACCGCTATGTATAATTAAAATGCACCAATTAAAAAGCAATAAGTAAATAGAGGGAAGACCAGGGAAGTACAGAAATGGGATCTGGGGAAATAGCGAGGATTAAAATAGAGCAAATTAGGTTATATACATTCATGAATGTGTCAGAATGTATTCCACTATCATGTATAAATACAATGGACAAATAAAACCCAAAATGTGTTCATTTTTTCTTTCCTTCACAGAGTCTGATGACTCTTTACAAACTTGTTCTCAAAAGATATAAGCACTGGGTACAGACATCACACAATGGTCATCATTCAGTGAATTTCTTTCTGGTGAGAGGGCTTTGAACATGGGCTGTCACCTCACCTCCAACTCCACCTCCCGTCCCCTCTACCTTCACGACCTTTTTCCTCCATGAGATGATAGATCCTCAACTCGTCTGGGTCTTTACTCTTTTCTGTTTATGAAGCACTCTTGGGGCCTGTTTCTCCAGATTCCTTCCATCTCCCTTTCCATTGTGAGCTGTAGGATGGTTCTGGCTACCCAGGGCTGCTATGCTGCCGTGTGGCTCCACTGTTGACCCTGGCTGCCATGGCCACCTTTGAATCCTGTGGTGTTTGTTGCACGTGTGAAGACAAGAGGCAGACCCGAGACTCCTTCCGGACGTTCCTTCTTTTCAACCTTTCCTAATTGACAAAATGAGTCTCTCCTTCTTTTCCTGATCAGCCCTTGAGTGGTGACTTACGAAACGACCTTGAGATCTCCAGTTCCCAGGCTCTCCTCTGTGAAGGCACATTCCTTTTCTGTAGTTTCTGGAGACAAGGAGACGATAACCTTGTTCTGGAGGCCTGGGAAGCCCTGATCTGTACTGATCGTGAGAAAATTCCCGTTGAAGTGACAAAACGCAGTCTGAGTCTCAGACACCTTTGACATGTGGTGGTCATTTCTAGGCAGACATGATGACGGTGAGCGCTCAGCAAGCCACTGAATCCTGGTCCTCGTGGACAGGGAGGAGAGTCAGACAGTGAGCCGCAGGCCGCACTCAGGGCCATGGGCCCCAGATGGATGCTCTGTAGAAACATTCCAAACCCACCCAAACCCTTGGGAAGTTGAAAAAGGGAAGGAAGGTTGGACTGAATCAGAGCTACAGAGAATTTCAAACTCAACAGCTAAAAGAGCAAAACCAATCAGCATTTTCCCTACCAAGTCATTTTCCAGATGCCTACTTATCATAGAATCATAGGAGTCAGGGCCAGTATCCTTGGAGGTTTCTGATGCCTGATTAGCATGGATATTGAGGGACACCTCTTTCAGCAGCCACGTAACTAGACTAGGACACTTCCTTGGGACCTGCTATCAGGACCCCCTCCCCCCCCCCGCCTTACTCTGAGATAATCCTGTTTCTTTTCTTTTTACCTGAATTAATCTCATGCCATCACACACAGTGCCCATTGTCCATGGATTTAATTCTTCAGCTTTGTGAAACAAGAACCTGGGAAGGAGCTGCTGGCCCAGCTGTTGCTGAGCGGTACCACCAGCAGGCACAGCTGTCCGGAGCTCAGAGAGCTGGAACACACCACCCTGCCTGTCACCAAGGTAAAGGCAGAAAACCCAGGTCCACCAGTGCCTTGACCTTCAAGGCAGTCCTTCCTAGTGGACAAACATGGCCATCATCCTCTTGGTAAGTCTGCTGTGCTCTTGTTCCTGAGAACTCAAACTCTCCCCATCCTCTTGAGCAAAATGGATGGTTTGATCTACAAGTTTCACTAATCTTGGGGTTAAAGTCACAACCCCTAGGAGTATAAATTTTGGGGAAAAACATCCCAATGGGAAAAATAGGTATTTTTTTTCAGATGATACTAATAGCACTTTTTTTTTCCCAGAGTTTGATACTATTCAAAAGCCAAGAAAAAAGGAAATGAGCAAACACAATGCTTCTCCTTGATTTGTATTCTAAAGTATATTGACACTATTAACTCCTTTGTAATTAGTCAACATAATGACGAATGGAGGCACAGTGTGTACATGGTATACACAGGAGTTGATGCTACTTTTAGGACATGTTTATAAAACGTGGCTTATAAATTCCACATACCTTGTAAAATTTAATCATGATGAAGTTTATTACATGGAGCTCAAAGTAAATTCAAAAGGCTTTTGACTCTTCATCAGTGTTGGAATGCATCATTTATAAGAAGATTTTAATAAAAATTTAAAATGCATAAATGTGTTTTATTTTATAAGCATACTGTAAATTTGACTAAGTGGAAAGGAGAGATAAGAAGAAATTCCCAATGAACACCCAGTTAATATTGTATGGCACTCCACTGTTTTCCAAATCTATGTTGTCAAAAGCAGTAGTCCTTACGCAATTGAGAAGTATATGTATGATTGGTAAAGTTTTCAAATAAGCAATTTACACCATACTGTTTTAATGTCAGCTAAAACTTTACCTAATAGAAACCTATCATCAAATGGCTCACATTAAAACAAAGCCAATAGCTGCGTTTTCATGGCAGGGAGATCTGTTTTGACATAGCGCTCCAGGTAGCCAATAGGAATGGATTTGCCTCAGGAGCCACTAACTCCTCAAAGAGAAAGCACAAATTAGATGCGAGGGCCTCCCGGTTTGGTCTTTTCTCAGTGACTATTCACCAGGGATATTGCTCAAGTCTCTATGTCGTGAGGTCTCAACTTCCTTCCCTGTAGGAGGAGTTCCTTGAAATGACGTAGTTCTAGTCTCTTTTCAGTCATTTTTAAAATTCTGTTTGAACCAGGACAGTATCTTCAATGTCTAGAACAATGCCTAATTTAATTTAATTCAGTTTTTTTTTTTTTTTTTTTTTTTTTGCAGAATTGAGAAAAAGGCATATGGAGCTAAAGCAGATAGATATCTTCGAGGAGCTTGTCCTGTCCACCTGTTAGACATTTTAAACAAAACATTCAATAAGCAACCATAATTTAATCAATATGAAATTTGTCTTGACAATGCTATTTTAAGGTTGGTAAAAAGTAATTGTATACAGTGGGTTTACCTTCATAAACTTCCACTTGCAGATTCATGGTGGGGGGTACATGCTTCTTTTGGAAAACAATTCACTCTTCTTCCAATTCCCTCAACTGCTTCAAGTGTCCTAATTACTAGCAGCATTTGCAGACCTTTCTTCGTATGTACAATAAAAGGCAAACATCACCCAGGTTTCATAAAGGGTAGGCAAATCTCTTCCAACTATCTTAAATATGAGGTTTGTTAGCATTTCTTTCATAAGGGTTGGTTAGAAGTTTAAATAATCTCAAGTGTTCAGTTTTCATATATGGATAAAGTACATTCTTGTGGCCAGTCTGTAGATTTGGAGTTATCAGGATTATAAAAGTTGGCCATGAATTCTCTCCTTATGTAAGGTCATCCACTAAGTTCCTGTCTAATTGACACTTAGGTGAAATTTCTGAGAAAGGAAATGGGCAAATATTTACTACTTGTCCATAGTAGAAGCTGAAATATTCTGGAGTCTAAACACCAGACTTTCCTAACACATCTCACTAACAGGAATTTTCTCAAAAGAATTCATTTTAACTTAATTAAAATGAAGAATGATTTTTCTCTTGTATGTAGCAGATGGTCTCGGCTAGAAATTAGAATTGTATCTTGATGGTAGTATCCTCAGGACCTGAAAAAAGCTATGACAAACCCTTCCAGAAACATCACAGTGACACCCATCCATACATTTGTTGAGTCCCTTCCACATCAGGTAACAATAACAAAGTATCGAATCACAACTATTCAAAGGCACAGGGACAGAGAACATTGTGGTCTACACAGCACCGTGGCACCATGACAGTTGGTCTGATAACCAAGATGGCTGTCAAGTGAGGAACAGGTGGGAAGTGCACAGCATGGACATGCTGCCCAAAAGATGACTCACTCCTGGAGGGACAAAGTGAGACATCGTGAAATGTTACCATGCTCCCAGACTTATTTATTTTTAGGATAATTCTATCAATTAATTCTTATAGTAGGAAGGGTTATTTAGCAAGCATCGAGATTCAGAATTTGGATTCCTTCTCTCTCTCTTCCCAATTTCATAACCTCACTTCTCTGATTGGAATTCGGAAATCAGTTCCCTGCAGCTGGTCTAGACCTGAGCTCTGGATCCTTTTTGCCTCATGGTCCTTGTTGGACCCCACCAAGGTATCTCTTCTGAGGGTCCTTTAAACATTGCTCCCAGTCCTCACTGACCCACTGCTGGAGGGTCCTGGGCTGGAGGGACTCGTGGTCTGTTCTCCCCACAGAGCCGGTGCAGGGACGTGTCTGGGTATCAGGCTCCGGGGCATCTTCTTCTCCTTGGCACTGGGTTGTCTACTTTATGCTCGACTTCCTCGGCACACACTAACTCCCAATTCCTGGCTGCCTTCCTTCTGTGTCTCCTCCGAGGGCCGGGGGAGCTTTACTGGGTCTTTCTCATGCATGCTGGATAGAGAGATGGAATGCTGGGGTTGGGCTGTAGGTTTCTCCATCTTACACATCACATTGCCACTTTCATCCTGTAGTGAGTGGTCTCCTCTGAGAATTCCCAACATCAAGTGACCGCAAGACCCTCTTGACTTCCAATACACACAATCGACCCAAAGTTTCTAACCCCATATAATCCACTGGGCCCTTTCTACCAAGACCAGGCTTTGGGGGGCTCAGATCCCACCCCCATGTTCATTTTGTCTTCTTCTCTCGTTCCTCTTCACATCTCTCCGTTCCTGCCCAGCTCAGCAAGGATTCCCCGAACCTCCTGAAAGTGTGAGAAAGCTCATCTTGTCTCTTTTGTTCTTTTATTTTTTTTTTACCCAATTTTTCATCTCACTAGTGCTGTGGGTGATAGTAAAATTTTATGATCAGTTCATCCACTTCTCTCTTGATATTTAAAGTTGGGAAGGAGAGTTCTTTTCTCTTAAGTTTTATATAGTGGCAGTCCCTCTTCAGAGGTTTTTAAAGCCTGCTTTCATAGTTAAAGCTGAAAGGTGACTTCTTTGCTCTTGGCAGGACTAGGCTGACACCAGAAGCCAATGAAGAATGTAAGCAATATGTTGTAGATTTACCTATATAGTCAAAATTTTCCCAGAAACACTCTTTTGACAACATCAGTTCTGCTTCTCTCATTAACCACACTTATTAATCACAGAGCAAATATCTGTCAAGTGCCTGTTATGTGTCAGTCACTGCTAGATGCTGGGCTAAGATAGAGGAAAGAAAGAGACACAAAATATAAAATACTAAAAAAAAGTGATAAAAGCATACACAATGTCAGAGAACCCTAAAGATTTTAAGCAAGCAAGAGTCCACCTATGAAAACACAAACCCCTCTGTTCCTTGGGTCACCAGCCCCGGGTGCCCGTAACTCCACATCCCATGAGGTTCTCAGGGATTTCCAGATGAAATAAAAGGAGATTCCGTATATCCCATGCTCATCCTGGCCAGATATACTGTACCCTTCCTGGCTCTCTCTATTCCCAAGCTCTCAGAGGAGGCTCGGGTACCACTCTCAATGTTGCCCTCTTTACCAGTCAGCCAA